GCAGTAATGCAACGTTTCAGGAAGTAACCTCAAAACCTCTTTTCTATCATCAAATCTCATCTATCTGTTAAAGTATTAGGTGTTGCTGACAATAAATGTGAAGACAAAGCTCTCCTACAAGGAGAAAGATGTAGAAATTTTGTATTATTCATAGAATCATAGAATCATTTAGGTTGGAAGGGACCTCCAAGATCATCAAGTCCAACCACCGAGCCACCAGGGCTCCAAAGTCCTCTGCCAAAACAGATCAGAATCTGTCAGGGTTGGAAGGGACCACAAGGATCACCCAGTTTCAACCCCTCTGCCATGAGCAGGGACACCTCCCACTAGGTCAGGCTGCCCAGAGCCTCATCCAGCCTGGCCTTAAAGACCCCCAGGGATGGGGCCTCAACCCCCTCCCTGGGCAACCCATTCCAGGGTCTCACCACTCTCATGGTGAAGAACTTCTTCCTCACATCCAGCCTGAATCTGCCCCCTTCCAGCTTTGCCCCATTCCCTCTAGTTCTGTTGTTACTTGAGATCCTAAAAAGTCCCTCCCCAGCTTTCTTGTAGCCCCCCTAAGATACTGGAAGGCCACAATAAGGTCACCTCGGAGCCTTCTCTTCTCCAGACTGATCAGCCCCAACTCTCTCAGTCTGTCCTCGTAGGAGAGCTGCTCCAGCCCTCGTATTCATGATGAAATACACTATACACATGCAAGGATACAAATAAATGCATATACCAATGCATGTCTGAGTAATCAGAAACATTGGTGCTCTGATTTATAGATACATTGTGCCTTTAACAAGAGTTAATTTAGAAATAAGAGTAACTTCTAGACTCTCAGGACTGGCAAACTTAATACACACGGAGGTGATAGGGAAACAACATACCATTAATTCAATCATTGAGGAAAAAAATACCATAAATAGTACTGGAAAATGTAGAAGTAAGTGAAGTTAATGAGGTGAATTAAGTGAAGTTTTCACAATGAGATCTCTGTCAGACTTCTCAAAATCGGATAATACCATCAAAATAATAATCTAACTAATGTAAATCCTAACACACTTGCTTCAAGGAGGCTTTATAACCATATATACATATTCATAATATATAAATTATAGATACAGGATCCTTCAATGTCTGTTTTGAATGACAAGTCTCCTATAGAAAGAGCAAGGGCAATTTACACAAAATGAAAAAAAAAAAAAAAAAAGGGTCAAGCTATTGGAGACATTATTGCACCTTTAAATACATTCACAATTCAATAACTTCTTATCTTCCTACAGTGCAGAAAGCTTTTTCTTACAGCCAGGCTGCTTGCCTGACCCACTCCAGGCAAAGCATCACCTACAGAGCAGCACTGCTTAATAAGGAACTTGTAGCCAGTGTTGACACGTGTGCCATATCTTGCAGATGAAGAAGGATCATTGATCCAGCCATATTTTAGGCATTACACTTGGAGATTACACTTGTGAGATCATTCATTATTATTTTACTTTTTACTTGCCATGTCTTAAAACTAATGAAACCTTTAATGTACTTGTAGTGCTTGCAGTCCACCCAGCAGTTCAGGGATTTTATTATCAATTACTTTAGAGACAGTTTTATGAGTATTCATATTATACATGGGCCAAATCAGTCGGCTTATCAGTGCTGCTTAAACAGACTGCTACATGATGAATGGCATGGCAAAGGGGAATAAAATCCTCATTATGAGGCACTGCTGCTGTCCTCGAGACTGTGGCATGGCGATTGGAGTTTTAAAGCCTCTGTGGTACCTCACGCTTTGTCATGGGATAGCAACTGGCTAGATCCTCCTGCTTCCATTACCCCAGGGCAGGACTGAAACCACTAGGATTAGAAACTGGATTAAAAGCTCAGGATTGAGCTGCAAGAGATTCTGATTAGCAGTCTTGAAGGCAGGACTGGTATCCCTGAGAGAAAAATACCTCCTAGTATCCAGCTGCTTTTGCTGCAGTCAGCCAAGCCCTCACACCCCACAACAGCTGTGAGCAAGAGCCTTACTGGCTTTGCTTCCAGCATGCTGGCCATATGCTGATGCATTTTGTTTACTTATATTTGTAAATGTGACTCTATTGAAGCTGCATTTAATCCCGTTTCTTAAATATTGCATCAAAACTAATAATGCAGATTAACATTTAATACTAAGTGTCAAATTAAGGGAAAATGGTTGAAAATAGTGCTGGGTACCTTAAAACAATTGGCTAGACTGTGTCTGGCCCTACTCTGAGCCTCTTGAGTCAGCCCCACACTAGCTCTGGCCTGACAGGGGTTGCTGCCCCATCCAGCCCACCCATGGTGGCTGAAGCCCCATCTCTGGTCTGTACTGGGGCACTGGTGTGAACACAGCCACAGGAACCAGATCTCTGCTGTCCTTCCACTCCTATGCCAGTCTCATCCTTTCTACTGTCACTTCAGCCTCTTCCATAAGAATTTCATTCTAAAGACAAAAAGACTGGTATGCTGACCTATGAAGTTATATGTTGCGAAGAGAAAGACTAAGCTGCTTGAGGTACGCAAGGAAAAAAGCTTTGTACAAGGAAAAGGGGATTATAAGCCAATCTTGAATGGATAATTGGGAAATAAAATGCTCAAAATAAAAGAATGTAAAGTAACGATACAGATCAATACGACATTGAATCAACAGAGAGGAGGGAGAAGTACTTTGCAACAGAATAAGATGTTGCAGAAAAATTAAACAAGTTCTTCATCTCACAAGGAAAATGGAAGTTGAGATGCCAGAAGTGAAAACAATGTGTCCTGGGGTGGACAGTAAATAACTAGAGACTTTAGCAACCTCTCCAGAACAAGTCCTAGGTAATTTTAAATCAATAAAAACAGTCAGAGCCTGAAGACCAGATGAGACACACTTCAGGATCCTGAAAGAGATGGCAGACAGGTTATTGGACTACCATGAGTTATGTTTAATAGCATCTTTGAAACAGCAAGGTATCAATAGAGAGAAAAAAAAAAAATAACTGTTGTAGGAAGAAAACTATGGAGAGCTATGAATTAAATTTCATCTCCAAAGCAGACAAAGTCCAAGAAATAATCAGTGATAAGCTCAAAAATAAACCCAGTTTTTGTGAAATGGGAAAACTTTAGAAAATACAACTTCAGTGGAATAGGAATTGCACTAACAGCTAACACAATTTCCTCATGTATACTTCTCGTGCACTGGCATTTTTAAGGGCAGTATTACAGACAATAAATAGGACTGACAGGCTGATGCTGTGTATATTTTAGAATATAAAGAATATAGGAAGAATTATATTCCTTTATAATATAGGAAGACAGTAAAATAATGCATACAAGAGAAGTTCCTATATGGATTAAAAATGGCTAAGGAAAAGTCATGCCTGCAGTCATCAATGATGCAGGATAATATGCATGATGGATGAATAAAAGTCAAGGTAACATTCATTTCCAAGGATCAGTAAAGGTCCTGTTTGTATATTCCTCTCGTATCTATCTCCCAAAGTCGTTCCTGTTATGCAATACTTTACCCTGATCATATCCTGAACTTGCAGCCTCTTGCAGATTTATTTAAATGGAAAATATGATCCGATGGCTCTCTGCACCTGTATTCCCACATTCAGTGCTGTGACCGAACTCGTAAGGCTGAGCTGGCATTTACTACCCAGCATGCAATCTTGGAGGTTTCAGAAGTCATATATAGCTGAGCTTGGTCAGCTTCTCCTAACAGCATCAATGTAGATAAACTTCAGGTGCAGGATCAGATAGTGAAAGATAGTGGCAAGAGGCACTGTGTTACAGAAAACCTTGATTTTCTGATAAACCCCAAATTCTGGAAACCTTGTATTACTGGCTGATACTGTCCTCTCAGGTTAAGTCAAGACAATATGGCCCTTTTCCATTCTAATTTTCTCTGAATTTCTTCCGCAGCTAATTATGAAGAAATGGACACTGGGGAGAAAGAGTGATAGTTTTCAAGTACCTGCAAAGAGGAAAAGACCCCACGTCCACTCCAGATAGAAGAGGAAGTTAATCGCAGCACAGGGGATTAAGCAAAATACCAGGGAAAACTTTTACTTTGGAAGTAATACATTGGAGCAGCCTGCTTTCAGAGGCTGCAGGATCTCATATTGAAGGGATTTATAGCTTTTCATTAAGTCATTAAATAAATATCTGTCTAAAGAAATCCTGTCCTGGGGCAAGGAAGAAGAGGAGGATCCATACAACCCCAAGTCATTACTTCCCTTTATCCCTTATGACTGCTTTTAAAAGTCTCTTGTAGCCTAAACTTGTAGGCTGTTAAACAGCTGCTCTGTTTCACTCTGGCAGTGACTGATTTTCAGTTGCCTGTGCTGTTCAAAAATACATGGGTAAAACCTCCAAGCTTTACCAGGCTACTAAGGACTGTTCTGTGGAAATAATAATTATCTCTGTCTTGTAGTGTTGTGCCCTTCTCCTTTCAACTCTTCCCTTACTTTTCCCTACCCTGTAATTCTGCCCATGGTCATGCTCAGCTGGACAGTAGCTGGGAAGAAAAAGATATTAGAAACGTTGTCTCCAAAGAGGTCTCTACCAGGGCTTCAGACACTCAAGATGTCTGCTGGCACATCTGAACACTGAGCAGGCTTTCAGAGCACAACATGGTGGGGAATGTCATACTCAGATCGAACAAAGAGGTCTTCATGATGGAATAAAATGTCCCATTATATTCTGCAGGACAAAAGTAAAAATTCTCCAGGCACTTACAAGGAGGAGGAAGATAAAAATGAGCACAATGAGAATTATTACTGATATTGATTCTCCTCCTTTGGCAGTGACCTGTTAAGCAACCTCTGTGCAAGTCCCAGACTCCCTAGTCAGGCTTGCTGCAGGATAAAAAGACACACCTCAAAATGTGTTGCTGGAGCTTTGTAGTATCAGGTCAAGATGTTGCTCATTTTGTAATATTTCTGTCTGAAAAAAAAAAAAAAATCTTATAGGTGACTACAGTTAAAGAAAAGGAAAGAAAGTTGATACTTTACCTGAAGCATCAGGATGATAGAGGCTGGGAGCACTTGCTATTTCTCCTTGCTGATGGAGACAGCTACCTGAGGATCTTTGACTTGCAATGAGAATCCTGCTCTTTGCAGATGGCAACCTGGACACTGCACCCAGTCCTAACTGTGGCTTGAGTATCATGGCAGATCGATAAAAACTTGGTGGGACCTCGTAGTGAGTATATGATGGAGGGCAAAATTCATCTTTTGCAGGCCTTTCTCCAACCTACAGAAAAATCATTAACACAGATATTATGCAATAAGTGATTAAATCAGAAAATAGAAATTGCCTATAAAGCTACTGTCAAGTCCTAAAAGGTGATATCATTTAGAGAGGTAGATACACGAAGAGTAAGAGGAATTTTTATTAGAAGTTATTTAAAGTGTTCCTACTCAGTTACAATTGTGGAGGAAGTCAGCTTTAACTTAGATAGTTAAAAATAAAGCTGAAAGTATTTTAAGTTCACTTTATCAGAGATATGGTATTGTCAAATCATTTGTATGAGAAAAAAAAAAAAAAACTCTACATGTTCTTGGTGCAAAATGTTCATTGTGATATGTGGCTCTGAAGTTCTTGAAAGGAGACCTGGTTGTGGAGGTAGGCACATTTCTGTATGATACAGTTTCAGGGGGCTGTTTAACTCTCCAAATTAGGGCTATAAAACCCAGATACCCACTTGAACTGGAGACAAATAGCAAATTTGCAGATGTGAAACATTTATTGTTTATCACACATAGATGATGATTTGCTAAGATCAATGACAAATCTCTCAGTATTTTAATGGGCGTACTGTGAGGACAGCAGAGTAAGTCCCAAGCTTGAAGTACTTCCAGCAAACTGACTGTTACTGGGGAACTTGTAGTCATGGAATGACCTGGTTCCCCAGTTCAGCCCTTGCATCTTCCTGCACTCAAGCTGGGCTCTGACTTCCACCTCACTGTGCTGCTTCGTGACTGGGACAAGGGCTCAGAACAATGTCAGTTGTTTTCATCTCTCTCATTTACAAAGAACCGTTTGCACTTCTGGATAGAGTCCAACTTCTTTACCGTTTTCTTATAAAATACAAAACCATCATAATGTAGAAGTACCCATGACTTTTTTATGCGTCCCATTTAGGCCACAGGAAAAAAAAAAAAAGGAAAAAAAAACAGCTTAAGAAATAGGAAATCTGAACTAAATTTGTTTAAAAATTAATCAAAAAGTGCCATAGGCTACCTAGGAAAAAATGTAACTGCCAACTAATTAACTCTGCTGTAAGTTATGATGCATATAATATGTCAAATCAATTTCTATTTAGCAATTATAAGCATTTAGAATATGCACTTCAACATTGGCTATAAAAGCTTTGATCCTAGCTGCTTCAAGAGCTTTAATCCTAATTTAGCAAATCTTTAATATGCTAAAAGAGACAAGACTGGCCTTAAACTATTAAATATAGAATCTTTGAGGCCTTTGCACAGGAACTAGGAGGGCAGATGCAACAAACACTGAGCATTGTATTTTTTGTCTGTATTTTTCTTTTGTTTGAAGTCTTATTTCCTTCCATGAGATTTTCCCTCTTCCTTTCTTATACTCCTGTGACCTATTTCTGCAAGTCAGGATGCAGTTTTTTACTGTATGTATGATTTTCTAGGCTTGGACTGCAGGAGATCCTTAGCTTCTTATTTTCAGATTCTGGATATGAGATCGTTTTCCTGGACAAGTTTCAGTTATCTTTTCCTGATTAATTTATTTCAATCAGATTCCACTATACACGTTATCCTATCATATCATATTTATGGCAGTGAACATATCAATGTCAAGTACTTCAGTATAAGGCATGGAGAAAATCTTTAAATATAGAAACCATGCATTTTTTATAAACTGGGTCAGCTTAGTCAAACCTTCAGTCACCTCATGGTTTTTCTTTATTGACAGTATGCTAAAAGTAACACAGAAGTGCAAGGCAACAAACATGTACACTAAACCAACTGATCGATCAATCACAAGCATAAAACCTCTTCTCAGTCTGAAAGAAGTGAGAAGGATTTGGAATAGAATCATTTGGGTTGGAAAATACCCTTAAGACCACCGAATCCAACTATAATTTACCCGAACATCTCTTAGGAAATAGATGTTTTTTCCTGAAGAGCCCAGTTTTGGGGAACATAAAAATGCTATGAAAACACTTTTTTTTTCCTAATGGTGAATTAATGAGGTGTAAAATTCAGTGGCCTCAACAGAATTGTATGCAATTATTGATTATAAGGTCATTTTAAAGTTCTTCAGAAAGACACAGATTAATATGAGACTTGTTAGCAACCTGCACTGGATTTTTTGTATGAAGGACTGGTAAAGAAAAGATCTCTTGCAGCCTGTTAGCTAAAAAGAAGCTCAGCTCAGAGTTTTATTGTATGTGGCTGGCTGCTCATTCTCCACTCATCCCATTTAATGAATTCATTAGAAAGAGCTGGAAAGTCTGCAGCAAATACTTGGAGCATACAGGAATTTCCACGGGCTGGGTGCTCCCAAGCAGGTCAGGCAGCACTGCCAGCAGGTAAGGATGCCCAGCACTTTCCTTTGTGTTCCTTGGTTTATAACATTGTCAAACATCAATTTTCTTGTCAAGTGTCTGCTTCATGCAACTATTTGGCAAAAGACATGGTGACATAGGTTCAGGCAGTTCAGATAATGAGATTAGGGAGGGAAATTGCTGCTTTGATTATGTATAAAACAACCCCTCCTATCCCTTTTTCCTCCACAGGCCTTTCATTTCAGCAGGCTTTAGTCCATGCTTTCTGGAGCAGAAGGCTTTCTGTGCTGGGGAACAGACCAAGGAGGCAGTTGGACAGGACAGGCGCAGCCTTGGGGAGGCAGGCAGGAGAGCTGGTGATCGCCAGACCTCCTTAGAGACCCCCACCAGAACCAGGGCTCTTGACAGCACCCATAAATTAGTGAACCACGTGAGCCAATGACCACTATCTGATAAGGCACAGATCATATCTGCAGACCAGGGTGGTCTTATCCATGTTGGTCCTTGGGAACAGCTCTGAGTGAGCACATGCTGGCAGAGGTGGACACTGAGCTGGGGAGTGTGCTCCCAGTCCAGCAGTATGGACAACTTTGTGAGATTCTTTGAGGCCATGCCCTCCCACTGCTCACTTCACTAGCACGACTACTGCCTTAGCTTCCCACGGTTTGCTCTGTTACTTCCCATGGAAGTAACTGGGAACATAAAATGGGCACAAATTCCCACTGGTGCTGGCTAGAAAGGCTGAGGTCCCTGTTGAGATGGGGGGCCCATGTTGTGATGAAACATGTGGACAGCAGTGATCTGCCCTGGACAGTGACTGGCTAGAAATGACAATTTTTACTCATTTCATTTTGAAGGGTTTTCTACCTTTTCTTTTGGATAAAGACAGGCATGAGAGATCTGCCTCCACATCACTATGAAGTTCCAAAGAAAAGCACTCATGGATCTGCCAATGCAGGTAAGGCTGCCCATTTAACCTTAATTTTGTTCCAGACCCAGTCTCTAAGCACAGCTGGACTGCCTTCAAGCCTGAGCTGGGATTTTTTTTCTGAGCTTCCCTATGTGGACTTCTGCACAGGCAAGCTCAAGGAGCCCTGTAGGCTCCCCACTGCATGGAGATGGCCCTCGAGTGTTCCTCATAAAGCTCTCCAGGCCTTAACTCGGAGTCTCCAAGACAGCACCTTCCTATTTTTTCTAAGTCATGGCACCCAGAGGAGTATTGAATTGTTCCTACCATTTAGCTAGCTGAAGGGTGCTTAGAGATTACAGGTCTGATCGATAGCAGCTGTTAACACTCCCTGTCATGGCTATGTAAAGAGCTATAAAATGCTAATCAGAGCTCTCCAAAGCCCAAGCTGGATGTGTGAAATAGGGCAGTCTGGGATACTTTCTCTCACAAACAGTAAGCCACACCGACCCTCCCTGCCCCCCTTCCCCCCATCTCTTTGTTTCCAAAATCTCGGTCTTCAACATTGTCCCTTCACTAAGGTGATTTTTATCTATTTCAGTTCATCTTAATTGATTTCTTTTGGATTACACATCAGTCATCTGCCATGAACCCATGTTGTGCACAGCTGTTTTTCTAAGCATCTGTCCACTTCCATGGATGAATCACTGCCCTTTCTCTTGATCCATACTGGAGCCAAATCAGAGAGTAAACACCACCTTCTGCTGTCAGCTCCTGGGCTAATGCAAACTCATAACACAAACTGCAGCTGGACTGACTTTTCCTTACCAGCCTCTCCTCCAGACAAGCCAGCTTCTCTGAAGCAGCAGCTTGTTTGGGTTCAAATCTTCCCTCATTGAAATACCCACTCAAAGTCTTATTGCTTGGAGGAGTGGGGGGAAATGATTTGGATCCTTTCCAGCTTGTGTGTCCTCTACCTACCCCTAGTCTAGAGTAAATCGTGCTGCAGACTTGCCACAGCCTGAGTCCTTCTCATGTTAAGAACAGTCCTCAGCAGTGCACAGGAATTGGTCCTTTGCTCCTAGATATGTCTGTTGATCCTGCATGTTTATTTGAACCCCAGCTGTATGGGCCATAGACCTATGGTTTTCAGAGGGTTATTTCACCCTATAAACAGCCAAACAACTGCACAGCCTGGGTTATTTTGGGTTTAGTTTCCATTGCCACACATTGAATAGTAATAACCCAAGAATTTCCCTCACCTTACAAAGCCATTGTGAAGACAGACTAAAAGTGGCTGGCATAGACAAGCTCACAATGCTTTTAATAATTCCTCCCCTGGATGCAAAATAGAAGGTCAGAGATGGAAGCTGAATTTAGAGGGGGAAGGGCAACAAGCACTGTCCTTTATGTGTTTGGAATGAGATGGTGCTCTATGAAAAAACATAATCTGTCATCACTTCAGTAGACTACCTGTTAACATTTCATAAAGGTCAATCTACACTCACACATAATATCTTAATTTGCGTATTTGCCAGCTCTTGATTGTCAACAGTGTCACCAAATGGCTTATTTCAATGATGTTCCTTAGAGAAATACTGAAAGTAGAATGAAGCATGCATTAAGATAGCCTCAATAACACCATAAGACATGCAGAAAAAACAAAAGGTAAGGTTTTTTTTAAAAAAAAAGACTTGCTCAAATTGAAAGCACTTTTGTTATTTTTGGTGTTCATATACAAAGGCTTGGTTGTTGAGCTACCACAGGTACCAAGCTGCAGACACAAGGGCACATCACTGACCTGAACGTAGCTCCCTCTTTCCTGTCCTTTGTCCCCTTTCCAAGCAAGGGCAACCTTCCTCCACTTTGCTCACCTCCCAACAGGGGTCTCTAGGAAACAAGACTCCTCCCCAACTTACCAAAGTGGAAACATAACAAGATACCAGGAGCCAGAATTGGCCAAAGGGACTTCTGTCACCTTTTGGCTTCTCAGGAAGGCTTTCTGGAGAATGGAGATTTCTGATTTGAGGTGTAGGTCAATGTAACACACGGCATTAAAATGAGTCAAAAGTAATTCTCCTGTAGAAGATATATAACCTAACAAGAGCTTTGATAGTCCCTGAGTTTCAGTACAGCTAAACAGGAGGGAATTAGTTTAGACCTCTAGTGCTCTGTCTGCAAAAACCTACCAACATTCCTCTTAAGGAGGAAAGGTCTCTGTGGGCAAATTACATTCATTTCCTTAATAAATAAATGGGAAAAAAAGAAAATCCATTTATGAATAAATTCAAACAGTGACTCTTTTCCTTTCTAAACCTACTTATACTACTAGCAGGTGATTAGTTTGCTAGAAAACATTGGAGGAACACAGTGACTACTTACAGTCACAGATCAGACATTGCAACAGAGTCAGTGCCAAAACGGTTACGTACATTTATTTCTAACAATCACACATTTTCTTGATTTAGGATTTGTTTCTTATTTGAGGTTTGAGAACTAGCTTCTGGCAGTAACAAGTAGGCAAATGATCACCACCTGGCATACAAAAGAGGCTGTCAAAGCTGCCTCCTTACCTCCTGCAGAAACTTCTCGCTCATCGGACCGAAGTGATGGCCTGCAGGCCTAATTCCTGACACCACCAGTCCAGAACTAAAGAGTCTTGGCTTCTGGAGGTCAGGTTTAAATTTGTCATACAGGATGCTGGCAGGCTTCGCCTCCCCTCCATTGGAGGCCTTCTGCTCCACAGAGATGGGCATGGCACACGCAGGGCTGGCGAAGGGCAGCCCTGCCGCCGCAAACGAAGGGTCAAGCTGCTCTATTGAACGAGGGTTTCTCCTAATGTATGTGATGATTTTAGGTCTCACGGGTTTGGGCCTGGGTATGGCAGGTTTCACCTCGATACTCTCGTCCAGCTTTTCACTGCAGTCACTGTCCACACCCGCCTTATCTGTCAGGGAGCCCTTGGAGTGGACCAGGATAGGTTTGGGGATGGCGCTGCTGCAAGCAGTCTTGATAGGCACTTTAGGGGATATATTTAACAACTGCGTACTGTCAGTGGGAGGTAGGACTGAGGAGGGTGACAGTTTGTCAACATGAAGTGCATAAAGGTCCTTTAAGTTGCTGTTTGATAGCATGGGCTGACTATTAGCATCCAGCGTTGCCACGGGGCGCACAGCAGTTGGGACACATAAAAAGGCATCAGCCTTTGCCAAAACGTTACAGCTCTCTGGTGCTTCCTCCGGAGGATGTTTCTCTGCGTTAGCTGTCTTTTTGCTTGGAACTGAAAAGCTTGAGGTTTCCACATCTCTGCTGTGGTTGTCAGGCTGTTGGTTTGACACCGTCTCTGCACTGTGCACTCCATGCTGATCTGAGCGATCAGAAGCAAGCACAGCAGCGTCCTCAGCGCTTCCTTTGACTAGCGTTGGTTTATTCTCGTTAACTTTCAAGAGTTTGCTGTCAGGTAGATTAATGTTATGTACAAGAGAGATCTGTTCACCAACTGTTTCAGCACAACCTGTGTCAACTTCATGTAAATCTTCATTTTTTCTGGGTGTCACTTTGCCATCAGATTCACTACTGCTGCTGAGTGGAAATATTGTTTCCACTTCTTTGTCAGTAAAATATTCCTCACCAACGTGGCTAGCTGCCCTGCTGCCACTGTCATTGTTTCCTCTCCCTTCCCCACCAATGATGATGTTATCACTTTGCAATTTGTCACCAGGATAGGTTACCATCTGGCTTGACAGTGGATCCTCTACTTTATTACAGGTGTCTTGAAAATGAGATGCCTGAAATGTTGATGTGTCAGACCCAGAGTCTTTCTGTTCCTGCACTGATGTATTTTCATCTTTTTGACATCCCTGGAACTCTACAAGCATAATTCTCTCAATCTTTTGCTGACATGTATTTTTAGATTGTAGAGATGGTACAGTCTTAAGCTCCACTTTTTTACTTTTATCACCCTGACCCAACTGTGCTTCTGATTTACTAGCAATCTCATTGGGCTTAACAGCTAAATGTTGAGAATGAGAAGTATGCAGTGTGCTTTCAACGTTAACATTTGGTATGTTTTCTGGTTTACTTATTTTCTTGCTCCCTGAGGTAGACGGTTTGGAATAAAATACAATATTTTCCTCTGAGGTATTGTCAAGCGGATGAAACACCATCCCAAGAAAATGATCCGTGGATGTTTTTTGTGATTTCTCTGTACTTCCTGTCAAATGGTGCGACCTGTCGATGGAGTCTAACGATGCAGAAAGCAGACGTTTACACGGCACGCGGCCAATGCTCTCTTTTGCAAGTGTCTCGGATTGAGGAGAGAATTTACTTGGTCTTCCCAAAGAAAGCCTTTTTATTCTCTCCATCTCCACAGTCCTGCATATTTTACCCTTAGAAAAGTTCTGGGTGAAGTCAACATCACCTTTGGAAACGACCTCCAGGCTGGCATCATTTGTGCTACATTTTAAATTGGACAGACTTTGTCCTCGGCTAATCCTGATATGCCTTGATACATCCTTAGCTTCGCCAGTCCTACAGTCTTTCCCCATCTCCCTGCTTGTGGTGGAGGGCAGCTTACTTTCCTGTACACTGGTGTGACAGGTCCGAGAGTCTTTGAAGGTCAGAAGTTTGCTCTGTTCTGTATTCAGATGAGTAACTTTCTCTGATCCTCCAGAGTGTATATTCCCACTCTCATCTGTCAAATCACATTTCTTAACATCCCTTTCAGTACTTTTAACTTTTGTCACAATTTGGTTGGCGTTGGTATCCCCCACATTCACTATGCTTTCATTATTATTTTTTATTTCACTGCAGTTGTCCTGAAGCTGGGTATAACATGACTTGTTTGGGATTAATGAAGCACTCATTTTGAAGCTTCAGGTGACTGTTCTCTTGGCAGTCCTAGTTATTGAGGAAGTTTTTTTTCCCCTATCGGGTTAAGTATTATGCATGCTTCGGTTATACATTTACATTATAAACTGGTAGAAAATTCCTCACTGGAAAGCTTGGAGTTGCTTGTCAGAGTCACATTTTTGTGCTGCTCAGTTGTCTTTCATGCAGTCTCTGGACTTAGGAAATCTTTATGGTGTGCAGTAGATAAGTTCAACAAAAGCGAAATAGATCTCTCAAGGTCCTTCTGAAGGAGAGCCAGTTAATCCAGCCAACCTATGAGAAAAAAAAAACAAAACAAACAAACAGACAAAATTACACTGCTGTCAGGAATTGTGACAACTAAACCAAAGTTAAAACCAACAGCACTCCCAGGTACCTCCCTAGGAGAGAGCATTTTCAAAAACTTTAGATGTTTCAATCACAGCTTTGCTCCCAGCAAAGAAGTTACACAAATAAAACTGTCCTGCTTAGAAGGGTGGTTGCTACTGTTTTTAAGCCATGCAGATTTACAATGGGAAATAGGCATAAATAGCTAGGTCAGGATGGGACACCACACTGAGTGTCTAAGCACTTTCATATTGCTATTACAATGTCTTAAATACACCAAGAATTGCTATGGATGCATTTAAAGCACCGCTGTATAGACAAGCTATAACTAATAAAATTCCAGCTCCATTAGGGGACATTTATGGCTTTCTCTCCTTGCCTTGTGGAAATCACTGCTGTACTTGTGCTGACACCCCATTCCCCTTGACATTTCTTAGTCAAAAAGCAAAGAAAGCAAAAACTATAGCTGGAGGCCTGCAAAGATAAACTGTTTTTCTGAGATAGCTGAAAATGCGTATGTTCAGATATAAAGGACTACACACCAGTCTCAATCCTTTTGGCTCCCTACTATCTGTGGCTTTGGGGACACAGATTCTGTCCTCTATCACCTTCAACACGGTGGATAAAGTTCTGTCTATGCCATGACTAAATTCATTTTTTGTACCCTGTAAAGTACCCTGTAAGTTCATCACCTTCAACATAAAGAAATACAGACTTGGGAAATCGGAATATGCCCCGCAGTTCCCAAAAGTTAAATTCAAAGCACCTGCAATGCTCCTAGCTGTGCTGTGTAGGTTTCTAACCAGGGGCTCAAAGGGGCACTAATTAGAAGTGCTGATTAAGTCTGCTGCTCTGTCTGCAGCATCTGGGTGCAAGTCTGAGCCTGTATTTCTAACACCCACCCTGAGCAGGTCCTCCCAGCCTTCACATTGAGTTCAGCTCTGCTTACAACATCTGCCTCTGAGCCCAATCCAGTTTCTCTATACGGTGCACACATATGTTGGCTGAGTCTGAATTCAGGCTCCTGGCATAGCTCCAGCTTTTCAGCAAACAATAACTAATTAAATCAATTAATGAAACAGAACACAGTATTAAGCATTTCAGTACAACACCACAGAATTGTGTTATTATAGATCTCATTTGCAAAGCATTGTAAAGCAAGACTTTTAAACCAATTCCATGTTCTATCCTTATTCCCAGAGAAAAAGTAATTTAATACTTATGAAATTAAATATATGCATTATGGAGGGGTTTTTTTGTTCATTTCTTATTGTTCCTTTTTTGCCCCCAAAACCATGACAATACCAGAATTTACATATTATTCTGAAAGCTGAACTCTAAATGCTCTTCACTGGGCAAAGCACATCTGTTATCTGCTTGGTTAGCTAGGAAGGGGCATTGATGGGCTTCAGAAGCTGAGTTGAACCAGCTCATGTTTCTCCCTCAGCTGGCAAATGGCAGCTCTGTGCTACCAATAACGAGGGCCATGAAAATGATCAGAGAAGTGGGATACCTCTTCTATGGAGAGAGGCTGAAAGAGCAGGGGTTGTTCAGCCTGAAGAAGGTACCTTTGGTGACAACCTATTGCAGCCTTTCAATACTTCAAGGGTACTTAGAAGAAAGATGGACAAAGAGTTTTTACCAGGGCTTGTAGTGATAGGACAAGAGGTAACAGTTTTAAACAAAAAGAAGGTAGATTTAGGTTAGATGTAAGGAAGAAGTTCTCTGCCATGAGGGTGGCGAGACACTGGAACAGGTTGCTCAGGTAAGTTGTGGATACTCTGTACCTGGAAATGTTCAAGGCCAGGTTGGATGGGGCTTTGAGCAACCTGATCTAGTGGAAATTGTCCTTGCCTATGACAGGAAGGTTGAACTAGATGATCTTCAAAGATAACCCATTATTTGATTCTATGATTCTATGAATTAAGCAGAAAGTGCAGTGAGGAAAGCTTTGGTGAATTAAGAAGTTAGAGGAAACTCATCTTTCTTGCACTACATTGTACTCTCTCATCAAAAGTGTCACCTGATGGGCCAAAACTTAAACAGATTGTGGTGAGATGACCATGGCTGGCTTCCAGACAGCCACCCAAACTCATTCTCCCTTCTCAACAGGACAAGGGGAGAAAAAAAGATGAAAAAGCTCATGGGTTGAGCTAAAAGGAAGATCATTAACGGAGTACCATCACAGGCAAAACAGACTTCACTTGGGGAAAATTAATGTAATTTATTGCTGTTTGAAATAGAGTTGGATGGTGAGGACTAAAACCAAGAAAGCTCAACTTACTCCTTCATTCATGTCTCCTCCATCCTACCAATTGCTTCTTCCCTGCCATGTGCTTCCAGAAACATTAAACCTCTGAGTGCTATGGCAATATATATAAATTAGTAGATGATGATGTACATTAAACCCTAAGTACCATATCAAGCTGATGCATTTCAAGTGTACAAGTAGAGCGATACATTTATTTGCCACTTATTTTGTTCTTTAAATCTCTTACATGGGTTTAGAACAAAGTAAATTAAGGTGTTTAAGATTTGAGCATGGTGCTCAGAGGTCATTGGTTCCTTTGTTTACACTGGCCCAAATATGATTAGTAGCAGTGAAAATACAGTTAGTTTTGAAAAACAAAAAAAAAACATCATGGAAGAACACACAGTGTGTGAGACAGGCCATGCTGGTATGCTTCAGAGACCAGATGAAATAATTTGGTTTAACCTTGCTGGTACAAATTGATCAACATGAGGGTCAGGAAAGATCTATCCCCTCCCAAATACAGGGCACTGCACAACCTCAGCAGGCTGTCAGTTGAGAGTAACCTCTTAAAGCAGCCACTGCCAGCCAGAGGTACAGACTTCAAGTGTACGTGTAATTACATTGCTTTTAAGAGAAGGGGCAATAAAATACTGTCTAGGCAGAGATTAATCTCAGGCGGTGTTAGCATTGCTCCAGAGTCAGTGAGAAGTGACAAGCACTTTGGAAAGGTGGTTCATCTCATGTTAACACCTTTCAGGATAGACCCTATGCACCCAACCTTCCAGGTTCCTCTCTTCTGGTGACATCCAGTCTCAGATAAAAGATTCACAGACTTGAAGAACCCATTGCATCCTATCAATTAGCATCCATAAAACTACCTCAAAATATTTTCTTACTCTTCAGAATGTTCCTTGTTTAACTTCGTAATCTGCTCTACAGATGCTCTTACAATGTATACAGAGAATAGTAATTCTGCTTGAACATAAACCTCCCTTCTTCTATAGAACATACTGTCAGCAGAGGATTACTGCTAAATTAATATAAAAGTATAATCAAACATCTATGTCAATTAGTACCTCATTAATCCACTTTTCCCTGCTAAGAAATATAAGCTTTTGGCTTTGGTTACTGTGATAGGCACGTTTGAGAGTAAGATGGCTTTGTGTTACATTTGCGATCTTAGAAGACTAGATCATTCTTTTTAAAACAGGTACTATTTAAGAAGCTTTGGCTTGGATTCTCTGTAGGATAGTTTGTTTCACATGTCACTGTCCAGCAAAACTTCACTATGCTTTTTAGAGTCAGTGACATAAAAAGACTCAGCTGTGTCTGGGCTCTGTTGGCTCTTCCTCTATTTTCTGTTACTCACCTCTCTTGCCTGATGCTGGCTGACATACACACATCTAAAGTCACTCCCCGCTGTCCAGAAATGCTCTGAGATGATAGAAATGTGAACCTAACATGCTGACTCTTCAGATGCCCTCTTTAATGCAGGAGCAGGGGGTAAGAGGAGACTCAATCCCAGCAATGACAACACCTCACCACTTAGCAGCATCTCACTGGGGACCCTATACAAGAAACTTGTCTGCAAGCCTTAAAGACTGGACTTTGTATTATGTAAATCTTGATATGGGTAAACATTTCTTGATACTGTATAGTGCAATGTCCCCTTTGTATTGCTGAAAGTGGAAAATTAAGTCATAGCTCTCCATGTCACAGCATCTTGGCAGGATGCAATAACTATATTTGTGAAAAAAAAAAAAAAAAAACAAAAAACAAAACTAAACCAACTTTACAGGGTGTCATGAACAAGCTAGACAGTAGAATAAAATTATATCCATCAGACTATGATTAGCTATAAATCCTACAGGGAGAAGAAAAGTTCAAGGAGCCAGAAGCATAATTAAATACTTTTGTTTAACTTCAGCAGTATTAGGTTCCTTCTGAGATGCTGAGATGTCTATCTCTTAAGAGCCTCTATTCTAAACCTGTGCCTATTTAATGATGATCTAGGAAAGAGCTCCTTTAGAGTTCCTTCCCATCTGCTATTGTGGTTCCTCCCCTACATGCTGCTCCATCCTAAGATGCATTAGGCCAGCAGATCCCACCCTACCCTCTGGAGACACCAGGGAGAAAGTAAAGCTGAGCTGGATGATTTCTGCCCCTCAACACACAGCACGGACTGTGTCAGCAGAGCTCAAGTTTGTAAAATATAGCTGGCTGGAAAAAGAAAGCAGCAGCCTGCATCTAACAGCAGCTTTTTTTTGGTTAAACAAGCAGCATAGTTATATTGTTACCCTCAGTAGGCACCAAATAAAAGAAAACTAGTAAAGCATTACCGTGTTATTGGCTCTCTGTGTTGTTTTCCATTTGTCACAAAAATACAACAGTAGT